CCCCCCGCCCTTAAGGGGACCAGCTCCCATGCCCTTTGCGGTAACCCCCACAGTGACCTCTGGCTCCCAGGTCAGCCCGGTCCTCCCTCCACAGCTGCAAACCCACCTGCCTGCTCAAATTCAACCCCAGCCCCAGGACTAACTCAGAGCTGCCCTGAGTTAAAACTCAAGCCCTCAGGGGATGCCTTGGCAGTGGGGAGGGAGGAGTGGGAGGGACGGATAAGGAGGAGGAAGAGAGAAAGGGAAAGAAAAGGAGGTCTCGCTGTGGCCAGCTGTGCTTTGTTCTTCCAGTCTGAGCTGACACAGCAGAAAGGTGGGGGGAGGATGGCAAGAAAAGTCAAGTTAAAAGCGGCATCTCTTGTCTTCCCGACTCCCATTTTCGTTGGCTCAGGGCGCAGTTAGCCTCTCAAAGACTTGTTTCAAAGGGAGGGGGCGCCGGGGGTGGGGAAGCCATCTGGCTCCTTCAGTTTTCCATGATCTTGTTCAACCTAGACACAAATCTGGCCAATAAACGTAACTCTGGAACTTGACTTCAGCACGGCGTTCGGACCAGGCTTGGCGCGGAAGCCAGGGTGATGGAGGCCAAACCCCTCCAAGAAGCAAAGGCTGAATTCATTTTTATCGAGGTATTTTTTTTTTCTTTCCCAGAAGCATATTTTCTGTCCTTCTTTCTCTCTTATTTCTCAATGACAGAACTGAAACCCAGAACTCACTTCTCCCTGCCTCTCAAACTTGTCTCTCAGGCGCAAGAAGAGATCCCCCAGACCCCGGCAAGTATGCGCGCCGCCCTCCCGCCCAGAAAGCCACAGGGTCCTTCTCCAAACAACGCCCGGAGCCGAGCCCCGTCCTTCCTTGACTCGCCCCAGCTCACCGATATGTATTGAGCTTGTTCCAATAAATCTGCGGTCTCCCGCCTCCCTCCAGCCTCACACACACTGCCCTGGGTTTCTGTATCTATCTTTGCCCCTGAACTGGCCGAAATAAAACGCAGGGCCCGGCGCGCTCCCGGCACTGCGCTCACGGGCGGACTCCCTCGCCGGTTGCTCAGCAACGCGCGCCGCAAAACACCGGGCTCCGCCCGCCCTCCCTCCGCTCTTCCTCCAGAAGCTCTGGCTGCCTGCCACCTCGCTCTGCTCAGCTCCCCATCGCAGATTCTAGAAATGCACTTTTTTTTGGTTAAAAAAATGTCTTTATATACACATGTATCTTTGATACATGTATCAAAGATACATGTGTGTATATACATATATAGGTATACGATCTATATCTGTATCTATATGTGGCAATCGCAAGAGGGAGGGGCAAATGCAAGTTCGAGCTGCTGATTTTGGTGGTGGCGGGGGAGGTGTGGGGTGTTGGGGAGCAGGAATTTTGGCCAAAGGAGCTGAAACGCTCCTTCCTTTCTCTGTTCTTTAAGAACTGTCTGTGCGCCATCTCCAACTTTGGGGACCCACCCAACGGTTTTCGAGCTGACAGGCTCTAGCCAGGAGCGCCCACTCCCATCCCGTCGGTCGGGGAGGCAGGCGTCAGCTCCGGCCACCGGTGGAGCGCAGCCATCCCGCAACTGCAGTCTGTCAGGCACCTGCCTGTGGCGAGAAGGCCTGGGGCGGAGTGGGGGCGGGGCGGTGTTGGCTCAGAGGGACCCTGAAGGTAGGGGTTGTGGAAGAGACTGCAGAGAAGTCTAAAGGGCCTCTTGCTTGGGACAAAAGCCAGTGTGTGTGTGTGTGTGTGTGTGTGTGTGTGTGTGTGTGTGTGTGTGTGTGTGTGTGTGTGTGTGTGTGTGTGGTGGGTTGAACTGGAAAGTTGGATGCGCCCATTTGCTCTCTCAGCAATAGCGTGCGCGCGCGTGCGCCCTGCGCGCACCCCCTCCACACCAACCACATCACACCAACCGCACGGTTGGGCAAATAAAAGTGGGGCCAGAGTGCGGCTGAGTGATACCTTGTATACTTTCGATGTGACCGGATTGTTACCCAGAGCACTCCCTTCCAAGCCAGGAAATCGATTAATACTTTTTTTCCCTGGTGCTAAGCTTTTCCAAATCCACATCCCCCAAGATGAAGGCGCGCGGGACCGCCTTTGACAAGTGGCTCTTAATAAAAATAACTCCACAAACCAGCCTCTGGGGCTTCCAGGGCCTCCGGGGCCTGCACGTCGCCCTCTGTCCCTACTTTGCAGGCTGCGATCCGGAGACCGACTACCTCTTGCAAGGCTGGAGGGGCGGCCACCGGCGACAGGCAAACCTGCAGGGCTTGCGGGGATCCAGGTGGAACCCGGGAAAGCTCTCTTGCCTCTTCTCCAGCGGCGACCCACTCCTTTCCTATATGATAGTGTCTGTGGTTTGCAGTTAAGAAAACTCATGTTGGGGTGCTCGTGATGGAAGGGGATAGGAGGGAAGAAGGGCATTGTCCCAGTAAGAAACTACACAGAATAAACATTATTTAGCCACGTCTTAACCCCTTTTGGAGAGAATCGATAACCAGGCTGACGTCTCGGAATTCAGACTTTTGTGTACAGTTCACTAAACTTTAAAAAAAAAAAATTTATGTATATATGTAACTCCAAGAAGAAACCCAGTCTGAAGGGGGCAGAACTGTTCTGACGGAACAAGCAGCTCCTTCAACCTTTTAAACCCTCGACTCCTGGCACTGAGAATTTGGGGGCGGGGCAACCCGGGGGCGGGGCTACTTGGAGGCAGAGGGAAGGCTCCTGGTGCGTGGCTTTTCCGTCTCCGCCCCCTGGGTTTTGCATTCTGCGCTTCCTGGGCCCTTCTTGCATTTACACCACACCCACTTGCGATCTGGTTTGAGAGATTGAGTTGGGGGTGGGGATTAGCACTGGCGGGGAGGTTGTGCTGTCTGCATATCGCATCCCTACTTGCTTCCCAACCCTATATCCACCTTTCTTCCTCGGTAAAATCTGAATTGGGGCAGGGAAAAAGGAATTAGATTCAGGGACGAACACCCAGCACAGGATCACCAAACTCCTCCTTAGAATCCCTTTCCTCCACTCGCCCTTCCTCCCCCTGCCGCCGCCAAGCGTGCCTCAAGTAATCTTTCTTTTCCTGGGAGGAAAAAAGGTATTTTGCATTTTAATATGTTTTGCCATCTACCACAATCAATCCCAGTCAAGAGCAATGGGTGTGCACGTGGGAGGGGCATCAAAGCCCCCTCCCCCCAAAAGGCATTAGCGATCAAGGGTGCGTGCGTGCGTGTGTGTCGGAGGAGAAGGATAGAAACCTCAGGAGGGACTGGTAGGGAGCAGGGCCTGGGAGGATCAAAGGTGGAATGAGCACGGAAGACCGGTCACGCCTCTCTCTCCAAGTCCCCAGATAAAGCAATATTTTAACAAAAGAGATTTTTTTTTTTCAAGTTCAGGGAAAAAACGTATTGGGTGGGTGGGGGGCAGTGGAGGAGGGAGTTAATGTAACATGCACTCTTTCAGACTGGAGACTGAGTACCTGGGAATTTGGACCTTGAGACTCAGCAGGAGCTGAGAGTCTGTGTTCAGGAGAAAGGGGAGGGGTGGGGTGGAGCAGGGTGGGGGCAGGGGCGAGGAGAAGGAGCGAAAACCGCGAGAGGCTTGGCTAGACAGCAGCCCAGGGCAGCCGAGGTGCAAGGACCCTCCCCGCCCTCCTCCCGGGCTGCACCCCCCGCTCTAAGCCACTTGCTGGGCACAGCGCGCGGAGCCAGCCTGTCCCGTGTCCCCCGCCCGTGCGCCGTGTCACTGCCTGGCGCACTGAGCTCGCTCACCGATCTTGACTTGCTCGCGGTAGCTCTTTTCGTTGAGGCAAACCCCGCGGCCGTGCAGGAGGGCGTGCAGCGGCTTCTCCTCGTCCTGCCGGGGGAGGCAGCGCAGCCCCTGGGCGCAGCGCTCGGTGTAGACGCCGCACGACTGCCCCTCAGCCAGGGCGCAGGTCATGCAGCAGCCGCAGCCCGGCTCCTTGACCAGCTCGCAGCCCAGGGGGCTGGGGGGGCACATGGAGAGGGCTTTCTCGTCGCAGGGCTCGCAATGCACGAAGGAGCCCAGGCCCTGGGCCGGCCCCGCACAGGCGGCCAGCAGCAGGAGGACCGCGGTGAGCACCATCTTCTCCGAGTCTCCCCCGTTACCTTGGGGCGGGGCAGGAGAGCGAGAGTGCAGGGAGCAAGGGGCCGAGAGGGCGCCCGGGGAAATTTCTTTTTTTAAAAAATTTCTGGCAGGTAGAGCAGGTGCCCTTCCCCAGACAACTGCAAAATGTGGAGAGAGATGGAGGGCTCGGGTGCCTGCAAGCAAGTCCCAGTTGCAAGGATTAATAACTTGCAACAGGTTGAGGGGAAAAGAGCAGCGCCAGGTGCACGCGGAGGGCGTGGAGAAACAAGCCTCACCTGGTCAGAATTGCAGGGGGGAAAGCCAAAAATTGTTCCCCCCAAAGCAACCACCGGAATATAGATCTCGGAGGCCGTGGAGGAGACGGGGGTGGGGGGAGAAAAATGGATTTGTCTTCAAAAATTTTGTTTTAAGATCTATACACCCTGCTCCTTTCTAACCCTCCGCTGCCAGCGGCGCGCGGCTGCCGCGGAACAGGTAAGAGGCGGCGGCTGCAGCCGCGAGGGTGGGGGAGAATGTCGAAATCAAGGGAAAAAAAAAAAAAAAAAAAAGCCCCGAATCCAAAACTCTAACACCTCTTTGCTCGCGCTCTGCCACCACGTCTCCGAGATTCGTAGGTTCTGCGTGAAGCCCGGAGAAGGGTGCAAACGGAGGAGGGGGTTATTAAAAGGAGCAGAAAAAAGGAAAAACCCCACACCGCTCTGCAGCTCTTTCCTAGCTCTTTTCCCCGGCAGGAGTTTCCAAAGAGACTACGGGCTCCGGTCGAGCAGGCGCTTTTAAATAGACGGCCCCTGGCTGCCAGCCAGTTTGTAGCTGCAATTTGAACTCCCCAGCACCCAACCCAGGCAAGAATGCCAAGGAGCTTTGCAGTACAAACTCACACGGGGTGGGGGTGGGGAGAGGCCTTCTAGACACCCGGGGGCTCCCCTTTGCTCCCTGAACAGCGCCCCCCGCCCCCGGAATGTAAGAAAGGGGCTTGGGGGACAGGGCTGAGGCTGCCCAGAGGGGGGAGGAGGGGTGGGCGAGTGGAAGAGAGAGTTCTTCGGAGCACGGTGGACGCAATGAGCAGTAACTCGGTCTCTCCCTCCCTCCCACCGCTTAACTAGCCAAAGCCCAGGCTGGAGGGAGAAGCGTTTTCTTATTAGCCAACTGGATATATGCAGTGCCCAAGAAATTCTTCCCAAGCTTTGGGAAACGGCTGTCTGCTAGCATCTAAGTTACTATGTAAGGGGTGTGTGTGTGTGTGTATGTGCATGCGTGCGTGTTTGGGGGGGAGGTGTTAGTGTAGGATGACCAGCAATGGGTGGGGAGCTGAATTAAAAAGGAAAAAAAAAAAGAAAAACTGGGTTTTTCCCCCAAAAGCCTGGGGGAGGGGGTTTAACCAAGAATGTTTCTGTTGCTGGTGGAGTGTCTGTCTTTGGTCACATGGGCAAGAAGTGGCCACTTTCCTTCAGCTACATTATTGCCCAGGGAAGGTGTGTGTGTGTGTGTATGTGTGAGATCTGTGTGGTGTATGCCTGCAGGAACAGACATTCACACAACAGCATTGTAGGAGCAGTGGGTTACAGAGACTGGCACCTTGGAGGAAATGCTAGGTCTGAAAATCTTGCCTGGTGACCTAACATGTCCTGGGGGATGGTGTTTAGATGGAAAGAAGGCAGAATGGAGTGATACTTTCCCTCCGTGTTCTTTTAAAGAGGCATTTCTATCGGGCAGGGCCACATCATTGGAGAGAATGGGTGACCGGCCAGAGGGACACCTTGTCATAAGGTGAATTGGCACACACACACAGGCATATCCCAGGAATATGAGTCGACAGGGCCACGGGACTTGTTCTGAAGTGACCCTGACCAGGAACATTATTGTCTCGTTTGAAACCTCAGACAATCCATTCAGGCACCACGGGCCCCTTCTTTCCTTAGTGAAATCAATGAAAGAGAGCTGAAGTCTTAAGGCAGATGGTGGTTTTATTGTTTTCTGAAATTGGCGTGGATGGGCTGTGGACTTTAAGCCAGGTCAGAGGGAAGCCAGTTGTTGCCACCTCATTTGGGAGAACTTGGGGGGACTGTCACCCCCTTCACATTTCCCTTCGTCCCTTTGGAAGTGCTCTGACTTTCCTTTGGAGAAGGGGCTGCATTTCATGAAGTTTGCCACTAGACTGCACCCTTATCTATGATAAGAATTCTTTGCCTAGGACTGCTTTCAGGCAAATATTTCTCTCACTGGTTTGCTTCAGAGCGCTCTGTGTTATTAACACCCCAGATCCGGATCTCTCTCCTCACTTATCTATTTGCCGAAAGGCACATTTAAAACAAGGCTAAAGTTTAAAGTTGTGCTCTTTGTTTGTATCGCCAGGGGCATGTTAGGTGTTGGATGGGAGAGAGAGAGGAGGAGCTCTGTGTACTGATTAAAAAAAAAAGAGACGGCAAGCCCTGTTCCATTGCCTCTCCCCTCTGTGTGGGGGCTTGGTAAGGTAGAGGGAAAATTAATATCCAAAAACTGGGTTGAAATGTCTGAGGAGCAAGGGAGATCGTGTGTTATTTTCCCTTTTGTGTCAAGTTCGGGCTCGGAGAGTGGCTGAGCAGTGTGTGGTGTGTGTTCCGGCCCCGCTCCCATTTCTGCACAAGCCGGGCAGCACAGCCGACTCCAGGCACGTTGCTAGCATTTCAGATGAATGGGGAAATTGTGGTGCTCCTTCCAGAGAAACATGAGTTGCCTGGTTCCAGCCACCCTCTATTCTGAGAGAGACGACCTCCAGTGACACGTCTTTTTGTCTAGCTGACTTCCAGTGGCTGGAAAATAAAATGTGTGAGGACAGGTATAAGAAAGAGGGGATGATTCATGGAGAAGCCGGGAGGGTAGAGAGAAGGAAGGAGGAGGTTGTGGTGAGAGCTGGTCCCTGGGGTAGGGCGGAGGACGGGGCCATGGAGAGAGGGTACCCTGCAGGTCTGTATGCGCTAAGTGACTGCCCTGTATCTCCACTTAGAAATGGGCTTATGTCCCGAGGGGTTGAAAATTGGCTGACAGAACAGGAGCTTCTGTCCAAGGGACCCTCAGGTAGGCTCCTTGGGAGGGCATGAAAGAAGGAATTCTCAGTAGCCTGGGATTGTCTATGGTGGTTTGGTCCAAAGATGGGGGCCTGGCTGGATGGGTTTGCATCTGAGTCCACACTTAACGTACAACAGTGGAGTGGGAAGGTCTGTTACAGGAGGCTGGATTACGGGGGATGCCTGGGGGCCTTTGTTGATGCCATTTCCCCCTCCCCTCCATTCTGAAGACCTAGATCTGTTCACACTCACCTTTAGAAGATTGCTTCTGGAAAAATATAGTTTGCATCAATGAATTTAATTGGGAGGGCCACATTAATTCCTGCCAGACACGAATGTCAGAGGCCATGTTCCCTTCTCCCCTTCCCTGCGACTTGCTTTCACCGCCCCGAGCTTCCCAACTCTGGCGTATTCCAGTTTCGATGCCTTTCAACCACATCTTTCTTGGAGAAGTAAGAAGTTAAATATTATCCACTTGTGTCTGGTTCCCCAGAGATCACCCCTCCCCATTCCTTTAAAAGATTAACTGCATATGAAAAAGAAATTCCAAGAAATGCAACTGAGTAAAAGATTTGGGCTTTTATATGGGCAGTTTTTCCAAGGGTGCAAAGCATTTTGGTTTTATAAAGCTTGAGTCTCTTCCTCTGATCATTTTTTTGGTGAGTTTTTAAGTGATTTTTGAGGCAAGGGTGACACCAGGTAACATGGTTTGGGAAAGACAGACTTTTAATATGACATAAAATATCACGGATTCCTTGGGTTGGAAAGGAAAAATGCCAGCTAAGTGTCCTGTCTTCATTCAATCCTATGCATTGCTTTCACCACTCTCTCAGACAGGTTTGTCTAACCTATCCCCAACAGTGGGTAATTATCCTTTTTTAAAGACCTTATGAGATTGACAGCTGTCCCTTTCCCAGAGGCCAGCACACATCAGGCATACTAATGCTGCTTGGTCCTGGTCCAAAACTAAGGTACGGCGACCTGCGAGAAATAAAGTGCCCAGTCGCTCAGGTCCCTCCCCAGATAATGGAAGTTCAGCGAGATTGAGGTCTGTGCAGAAGACCTGCTTAAGGCAGCTTTGTTGTAGTGACGTGGCTGAAGGCTAGGTGGCAGAATAGATACATCATTTAAAACACGCCTTCTTTCTAGAAGGGAAAGAAGCCGACACTGGTGGAAGTCTTTAACAACGGGGATGAGGAGGAGGGGAAGCAAAAGCATGGTGGGGCCACATGAACACCCGTGGGTCCTCTGTGCGCCGCCCCAGCCTTGGTGCTGCCCTTTGGCCGCGACAGCACCAATCCAGCTGAGGTGGGAGGGCCTCCAGTCCCCTGGGCAGCTATAATCGTGATCCCTTTACCTGGGAGACGAGGTACGGCCAGGTCAGAACTTGATTACTTTGGGTTCATCAAAGGATGCCCTAAAGCTTCTGTGATGAATAGTTAGAATATGGTCTTCAGCCAAAGGGCATAAAAAAGTCCTTTTTCCATTTTAAAATGCTAATTATGGTCTATTTCAAACATTCAAAGAACAGAAGATAATATAACACATACCCTCGACTCACCACACACATTTAACACATGTTAACATTTGCCATCCTTGTTTGAGATTTTGTTAAAAAGAAATACAATGTTACAGAGAACCCTCACCTCTTGCTTCCACTCGGTACCCATCTTTCTCTGCAGAGGTAGCCACTCTCCTGAAATAGCTTTGTGTCCTTTCTGCGCAATGTTTTTCTAGGTCTATATGAAGTTTCTAATAGAATAGAGTTAGAACCATTTTGAGGGTGAAACCATCTGCTGGTTTAGAGTTAATTTTGTGGTGGTGCTCGCTCTGGTGGCAATTTAATCAGAGTCTAAATTGACCCCAGGGCTGATTGGTGAAGGAGCTGGAGCCAGCTATGAGTCAGAGTGATTTATATTTCTCTGTGAGCAATGTATAAGTTAATAGTTTTAAAAATTGACGTTTAGGAGGCTTCTGGAGCCATTCCAGAGAGATACGGCGGAACAGGGAGAGCTGCATAAATCCAGTCTCTGGTTGGCAGCCTTCTGTCTTCTCAGAGGTGGGATCTGGTGTGTTCCTACAATGCACAGCCCCAGAGCTGCGTTTGAATTTTGGAAAAATGAGATTAACCAGGAAAAGCGATCTGTTGTGAGTTAGAAGACAGTGTTGGTAGATCCAGGTCTAGGACGGATAGGGATGGCCCAGGTAGGGAAGATGGAATCACTGAGATAGGAGGAAAGAGATAGAGTGTTACCACTTTGAAGCAAGTTTAATATAATGCACTTGAGCTGTGACGAGTCCAAGTAAAATCACAGTGCCTAGTTGGCATCTAGGTTTCATCACATTTGAGAGGGAGAAGCAGTAAGTTCTAGCTTACCACCACTAGCCCACAGGGCACATTTGTAAATTAGGAAGATGCCCTTCCTCAAGATGCTTTACTTCTATTTGTCAGAAAATTGTTATAAAATACAGATTTTGTTAGAACAAGGAACTTTCCTACCCCTCATGGGAAATTCTCATAATGAATGTACATATCTATGATATCTGCTGTGTGAATAGTGCCGCTAAGATGGAGCTTTTATTGTGCAGTACACAACCTGCACAGCTGTATGTGGTGGCCTTAATGGAAGAGTTGAGCCTAGTTTCCAAACCATCAGGAAACACGGCTTTTCTACCAGTGTGGAAAGGGCCGATCCAGTGA